TGGCCTAGTGTAGAGGCAAGCCGGCTAGAGTCGCGTTAGAGTTTAAATGCACGTACGGGCGACGTGCATTGCCGAGTCAAGTGAGAATTCCGCTGCAAGTGAAGCTCGGTCGTGGAAGAAAGAACCTCGCCTAAGGTCCGACGAAGCCACAAAGGGGCGCGAAAAGTGGATTGGAGCTAGAGTTCCTCGTCAGGCTGGCCATGGTCGAGCTTAGATCATGGCGCCGCACGGTTGAAAAATGTACGATCGTGACACTGGGGATACGTTATTTATTTATTATTTTTTTTAGGATATAGGTAAATTTAACATAAAAATGCTAAATATACTTCGCTAAAAAACATAAATGTCAAGTAAATTTATTGGGTTGAAGATGTACCCACTAAAAAGCATAAAAATAGTAAATGTAATCCACTAAAAAAATCCTAGAGAAGGATTTGAATTTGATTATTGGGTCGAAGTTGTCATCCTAATTTAGTAAAACATATGAAATTAGGGAAAAAAGGAAGTAAGAATAGAGCTTATTTAATTTAACTCACACAAACAGAAGGGTGGGTCACTAGGTAGCGTTTTCAGGTTTTTTTTTTGTAGTTTAAGTTTTTGAGATTTCAGCCAAACTTCTTGGACTTCCAAAAATTGGGCTAAGGAAACAATATTTTTTTATCTGGAGTGTCCCTCCCGTGTCCAAAACGTGTCCCAACGTGTCTGAAATTAAAATAAAAAATTTAATATTCGGACACTTTAAATTGCGTGTCGGATACGTGTCCGGAGCGTGTCCGGACGTATCCGTGTCGGACACGTGTCCGACACAAACACTCCTCCTTTTTTGCCGTGTCCGTGTTTTATATTTGACCACCTTTTCATTCACTGTCCTTTTGCAACAAGATGTTGGTCTTTTATTCTGGAATCTTTTGGCATTTCTCTATGCTTTCCTCAGCAGATTGATGGGTGGCTTCATGAATTACTCACAGGTGGGTTTCTGCTCTGTACTTGGAATTTCATCTAGTGTACCAATTACTGTGGCGGTTGGTAAGCATGGAGCAGACATGTCTTTACAATTCTAACGATCATAGGTTTTGGTCCCTTGAGTTGCGTAGTTCCTTTTTCACACCCATAGTTCCCTCCCCTACTGTTGTCTCTCCCTTTTTGCTAAGATTCTTAGATTGCTACCGTGGATAGATACCACCCATATGTCTTCAGTTTCACCCTCTGCCTGCATTGGTGTGTCCTATATGGAGAGGCATTGGAGGATCAGATTGATATAATTTGCTCTGTTTGTTTTCAGGGAAGATCTGGGCAAGTTTCTGTAGATCTTTAGGGTGTCCATGGCAGTTCATCATGATGGACTATTGTTCTGATTTGAAGGCCTTTCTAAATCCTCCCTTCAAGATGAAAGGAAAATATTTTTAGTAGGCTGCAGTATTTATTATTTTGAGGTACATGTGATGTGACTAGAAGGAATTAGTGTTCTCAAGGTGGAAGGTGCAAGCAAAGGCAATGTCCTTTGGTCACTTGAAGCCTGAAGGTGAGAGGCGCACAAAATGTGTTGCTCAAATGCAATGAAGTGGGCAAACTTGTAAAAATAATTAAGTAAATATTATATGAACGATAACTTGTAAAGAAAATAAATACACAACATACTAAAAATATTGAACACCAATATTTAAGACATAAAATATGTAGAGATAGGGAGGGGATTCGGAGTTGGTTTAGAGTGTGTGATTCAACGTCCCTCTTGGGGTGTACTGGTAAGCTTGTTAGTGACTTTTTTGCCCCTTTCGGTAGCCAACAATTGGTGCTCTGTCTTGTAATTTTCTTTTTATATATCCCTTTTCTTGGTTCTGGGCCATCATTTTTTATGTTTGGGGTACGTGTCCTCTGTACTTTCATTATCTTTAATGAAGTAGTTTTTCTTATCGATCATAGAAAATATAAAAATCTGCTTGTGATGTCACGTGATTATTGATTCCCAAACCCTAGTGATGAGAGTACTCTTGTCTTGATTGCAATGATGTAAACTGCTGTAACTCCACTGGTGTATAAATGACTGATAGCCGTGCTTGTATCTCAAGTCCTCATAAGTCACAAATAACATTTCCCCTTTGAATGCTTCAGAATCATATGCGAAGGGATATTCTAATAACTTGGACCGTGTTTCATTGAAAACCTTGGATTATGTTCTCACAATTTTGATCAAAATCAGATCAGATGCAAAGAGATACTTCGCTGTTGTTGTTCATCATTTCTCATTAAAATTGTATTTGAATATTTTATTTATTTATTTATTTTATTATTATTTTTTTATCTAATATATATTTGTATATAATGGAATTCTTGCCAGGGAATGAAATTAAATCTCGACCACCCGAAAATTAGTGGAGAAACAACAGCTCTTAATGCAATTACTGAAGTGGCAGGAATAATGGGGGAAAATATTAAGCTAAGACGGGGATTTTCTATGTCTGCATCTTCAACTGGTGTTATTTCTACGTACCTCCACACAAGTCCTCGGCCAGGTGCTCTGGTTTGAACTGCTTTGTCCTGTTTTAAGGATGATATATCTTCCATACTTGCTCTTCTGTATCAAGATGTTGGGATGAGGGCTTATCATCATTCGACTAGAAAGTGGCAGTACCCCTTGACTCTAAGGGTTTCCTCTCATATTTGCTCACGGGTCACCCTTTCAGAAAAGAAAATGAGCTCCTCTAGAAGCACATCATTAGAGCTTTTCTTTGTACAACATGGAATTAAAGGAATCATAGGCTTTTTACCGAAAAAGAGTTTCCATATGATATACTCTTTGACAACATTATTTTTCATGCTATGGTGTAAAATGTCATCTCTCTTTCATTCTTATAGTTTTGATTCACTTT